TGTTACATGTTCTTTTATGAACAGCAAATTATAAAGCAAATACATAACAGTGGTGGGCTTTATTTTAGGTACATTGATGATATTTTTATTGTAATAAATTGGCCTGCCCGGCATTTATTGAAGCAAATCGACAAATGGAATCATTTTGATGAAAATATTAAATTATCTGAAAATATAGGTGTAACGGCCGATTTTCTAGACTTACATATAGAAAATCGAGATGGTGAATTATTTACAACTGTTTATCAAAAACCATCCTATGAGCCGTATTACCTACCATTTAGTAGTATTCATCCATTACATATGAAAAAGAATATAATTTTTACTATGTTACTCCGTGCTATTCGATATTGCTCAACTTTTCAAGATTATTTAAATGAGCGTGAAAGGCTACGAATGGCATTATTGTTAAATAAATATCCAAATAAATTTATTGATACACAATTTATTTACATCTTAGAAAAATTAAATATTAAACAATTGTTAACAATTAATAATTATGCTGAATACCGCCACAAAATTATAGATTCTCCAATAAAAGAAAAAGTACCTATAGATTTTGGGAAAACAATGTTTGTACATTTTACATATTGTTCAAATATGAGGGCATTTCCAGGTAAATTCCACGTTTCATGGAATAAATATTTTGCTGAATCTCCGATTAATGATATTATACCTACTCTTGGTACTCGAAACGTTAATAATCTTCAACGACGATTAGTACATACAAGATTATATAATTCTGAATAAAATATTTTTTATTATGAAATTACTGGTATTCGAAAAAGCTTGGACATGGTGTTAATTTGAGCCACAGTCTGTCCTATATATTTTTTTAAATTGCTAAGCAACAAGGACATTTTGGTCACAAATTAAAGTATTTGGACACAAACTGAAGTACTTGAATTGATTAAAATTGCCAAGCAACAAGGACATTTTGGACACAAGCTGAAGCCCTTGAATCTTTTCGATAGACGTTATGTTCGGTATATAACAATGTAATGTTATATATTGTACTATTGTTCAACTTTAATAATTTTTATTGTATGCTGTTAATATGAAATGAATTTTCTGTATTATTTCATTACCTAGCCTTTTTGATATTATTGTATCGTTTTTTTCATGTAAATGCAGAGCCCTGATGAGTGTTTCAATATTTAAATAAATAACACGAAACGCGTCGGAAAATCAAAACTCTGCATTTCTTATAAATTAATTCGAATTCAAGCACATCGATCAAATATTTTATATTCGACATAATAGTCGTTTGCTGAAAAGCGAGAGTTGAGACTAGCAGATTGATTTGTATCGAAGGGATATAGATTGATCTGTTTCTATTTGATTTACATATATATTGACTTATATATTCGACTAAGAGTATATTTAAGTTAATTATATTAGAAAATTTTACATGTGCAATAGTTTATGATTAATTATTATATCGAACGATAACTTGAATGTAATTTATCCTTTTATTTTCCAAGTTATCAACTCTAGTAGATATAATATTAAGATACCACCTGATGAAGTCCCGCCATGGACAGAAACAACGTTGTCGTGGGATGGCGATATATTATTCTAAACACACCCATACACCCACACCCACACCCCACACCCACACCCACCCCAAAAAATCAGCTCGTTTGCCTGAGCCGTAATGGAGATATTCATTTTTTTTTCGGCAAAATGACTTTTGCCCCACTCCGTATATTGGTTTTTCTCCTATCTGTAATAAAGTAAAATTCTTGTGTTGAGGTCAATAGTAATACATAAAAAAGGATCTCTCCAGGCATGTCTTTATAGATATAAACTTTGAACATGTCTCTATCATTGACAAAAATACCAGCTCGTTTTGCTCGAGCTGTAATGAAGATATTCAGTTTTCTTTTTGGTCAGTGAATTATCAAACGCACAGTATTTAGATGCTCAGAATTGGGTCAGAAGTAACAGATCTTTAATTTCAAATTATTCTCCTCGTGAAATTCGTAACAGTGACCATGACCATTGTTCATTTCAACAGGAATATGTTCCTCCTAGGAAAAAGTAGTGATGAAAAATATCGTACGTTTTTAAATAAAGTTTTACGACCCTTGGTTGGTAAAAAAATTCTTCTATTACTTGATTCTTGAAAACCTCAAGCTGATCTAGAGAAATTTAGAGCAGTATTTCCAAATCAAGATAGTTAATTACTAATTTTTCCCGAAGAATCAACTGATCATATTCAACCAGAAGATTTATCTTTATTTCGTTCATGGCGATTTATTCACAAGAAAATTGAGCATTACATTCATATTAATCGAATGGAAATGACTATAACTGACCGCCAATATTACATAGATATGCATTCCATTATTCACAATCAATTATCAGCTCCAAAATTTAAAAATCTCATTAAATCTGGATTCATACAAGCTCGAATAATCAAAGAAACAATTGGAGAAATTCAGAAACCAAAAGATGTTTGCTTCAGGTTTTATAACTTATATTGCTCAATTAATAATTGCAATGAGCGAACACTATTAATTTGTGCTTGGTGTAAAAAACACCTTTGTTACTATCATTTGATTGAGGATTTACATCTACATTTGTAGCGAATCTTTTGAAGTATTATTTAGTTATCCTATACAGTCTATTGAGGTCATTTAAAATAAAATATGAAATATCGATAATATTACGTGTTGGAAAATACTTTTCTCTTTAGATTATGATACCATTTATGTTCCATAAGACATCGAAATTAGTATGTCCTTAACATAATCGGTGAATCTCAGAAAGATTTTGATGCATACTATCGGAATATTCAGTTGACTATGTGTGAAATGGATATAAATAATTCCTGTAGACTGATGTTACTATACTGAAAACGGCAATACAGTAAAATTCAATTATGTCCGTCCATGCAAGCCAAAGGTAGCTAATATTTTAAATTTGGTAGTTTGCCAGTGAGACATTTAATTTGACTCGAATATGTCTTATCTAGTTCACTTACAACAGAGACCCTTCCATTTTTAGTTCAATCATTTATACCTACAAACACTATCAAGTACTTAATAAATATGAAGTAATTAATAAATACTACTTCGATAAGGCATAGTACTTATAAGTACTTCAGTAAGTACAAAAAGCGACGAATATTACTAGGAAAAGTAAAAAATAGCTGGAAAAGTTACTTTATATTACTTTATTAAAATCTATAGTACTTCAAAGTTGGTTTTTCGTATTTTTTTTACATGGATGCATCCAAATCCACACCCACATCCACATTCACATCTCTGTTGAGAAAATGTCAAAAACAATTTTTTTTCACTTGATTAGCTACAGCAGCTCTCATGTATTGCTCTAACATGTCGTGATAGAGTTTAACAGGAACAGTAAATCCATCGCTCGAGTCGTTACGATATGGCTTGACAACTGTGAAGTGAACAATCTTAAAGTCTGACTGCATTCGTGTCCAAAGATCGGGATAATCTAAATACATGGTCAAGCCTACGTTATAAATGAGCGGTAACTGTAGATATCGAAGTTGAAAGAAGGCATTCAAAAATGCTTGCTCCGCCATGGTTGGATCATAGTTTCCTGGGAGACTCATTGTTCGGATAAGCTCTTTGAAAACGTCAATAGATGGATGTATAACAAGCACTCCAGCATTGAAACGATAGGCAAATTTTCCGTTCGAATTATCAGCAACAGCAGCAAACTCAAATCCAGTGCGAGACGGATCAGCTACAAGCTCATGTAAATGCGAAATATCGCCGAGAACAAGAGTGTCTGCATCTAGATAAACAATGGAATCGAACTCAGTCATATTCCAGAGTGCTAATTTTGTAAACTGATTGATAAACTGTGGAGCAGTTCCCGCCAATGGAGGTGCAATGTTATGTACAAGTCTCGGTATCCAACCAACTTGACGCAAGGAACAAAGTGTTCGATTACTTAGTGTATTGTGAAAATGCATAATGTACATTGGATAGTGTGGATGGTATTTTTTCAGAGTGTAGCCTAGAAGGAGTACTCCTTCTAAGTAGTTATTGTCTTTATACAATGCACTGAAAAATGCTCTGCGGGACACATTGATTCCTAGATTGATCGTCGTTTTCTTGGATTGTTTTTGACAAGAATAACTATCATGACAGGCAATCCTGGAATCCAGCAAAACTGAAGGAAAGCAAGGTAGAAAAGTTGTAACTTCCCTAAGTGTATTGCACACCATTTTTTCATTTGCTGCACACATAGGACGAAGAACAGGAGTGACATTATATACGCATTTCTCGAAAGTTCGCACCGGCAACGAACGAAGGAAATAAACGCTGCTGTGGACTAATATAATAGCAAGCATCAACAGTACGATAGTTTTAGTATGATTTAGAACCAATTTATTGCAATTCATGATCTAAAACAAGGTGAAATATCGATCAAACTCATATGACACATGCAATCCAAACCCTATTCGAATATGAATGATTGAGAAGCCAATAATTAAGAAAACAGAGTTCATTTCAATGATTGATTAAATATATTAACTGCTGTAATACATTTTCAGTTCAATGATACTTCTTTACTGTTAATATAGTTAGAAAAGTTATGTTTCGAACGGCTAATACAATGGAAAAATAGACAGTACGATAACATTATTAACAAGAGAAAATTGCTATGTGTTTCCCTCCGTTCATCTTAATATTTTGTGTATATACAGGGTTTATTACGGTTGTAGGGCAGCAACACTATAATTTTATTTTATGGAATTCACGTATATTGTCGAACAGAATATAATGTGTAGAAGTTTCAGTCAAGATTTTTGCGGCTAACCATCCATATATTCTAGCAATCGGAGAGCGCGAAAAAGAAAGACAGAGATTTATGGAGATGTCTCTATAGTTAGGAGAAGAGAAATTGGACATTCAACACTGATTGCGTACATCCTGATAATAATATGGAGAATAGAAAAGGCGGACTGTCATCAAGTACGTTCCCCTAGCCACCAAAAAAGGAGTGTAACTAATAAAAGTATAGAGAATAATCTGGGACTTTCTACAGTCTTTTGAAAATTTCTGTGAATACAGATTTCTCCTGTACATTTCGACTAGTCTAAATATTGCAGTTCTTGATATTCAATATAGCGAAAAAATCTTATTCTAGTTGTCAATAAGTAGGACAGTGTTAATGTTCTTCTAACAGAATCGGAAGGGAATGGAGATAGAAAAATGTGAACTAATGAGAAAACCGCTCGAAGTGCTTCGTTGCTTTTGAACTCATATTTTTAGGTATGTAGAGAGAACTTCTGGACTTGAATCGCCTTACTAAGATTTGGGCTCATAAGTCTCCTCTATCCAGGTCGAGAAATCAAATGGTAAGATCGATCACTGATTCGTATATGATGGTATCTGATCTTACTCCAATATCATATATGATCAGATCAGATCATACAAGAAACCTGACAAAAAAACGTAGCCACTGAAATCTTATATCAAGACAGACAATGAGATACCTATATGATCGACCCGTAAGATCTTACATGATTATACCAGATTCGTATAATAAGATAGCTATAGATTTATTCACAAATGCAAATGACTAATATTCTGATGTCTTAGTGTGTTCACTACAATATAAGTTAACTTTACGTCTCACACAAAATGTTCCATTTCTCAAGCGAATTCATCAGTAGAACATCAGCAGATCATTCAGCAATAATGAAAGACTATCTCAATATAGTCCATATAGAATTGCAAATTACGATTTCCATCGATTCA